TGCTATGCTCAGAATCAAATTGAAAAACTTTTATTTGTGACAAAAACTTTGAATTGTAAATTGCGTGCTGATCGGCATGCAATTTCGCTTAAGGGATAATGTAAGTAGTTTCAATGGATCACTCTTTTAAAGATGCAAAACACTACAATCAATAAACCAGTAATTTTGGAGCAGGCCCTAAGGGGTAAATTTAAAAATTTATATTTGTCATGAATGGGATTAATTTATTCTCTATGGGCTATTGAGGATGATTTTCATACAACATCATACATTAATTAAACATTTCTATGGGCGATCGAGGACGAAAACTATAGATGCTGCCCAAATTAAAAATCATGATTCCCAAATCCCAAATTAATTTGCACATCCCAAATGTACAAATCCCAAATACTTTGTACATCCCAAATTACTTTGTACATCCCAAATTAATTTGTACATCCCAAATTAATTTGATTACTTTTTGCAACTACTTTTTATATCATTCATATTTCATAATAATAATTTACTTGAAATAAAAATCATAGTTTTATTTATATTTAATAAATACTATTGTTTTCACAACTGTTTAATATAATAAATTTTTAATAAAAAAAATCAATTATTAATTACTATTCATTAGTGACATTAACATTTTGGTTTGATCCTTTTGATCTCCTTGTCATTAAATTATCTACAATTGACTCTACATCAAATTCTGGATCTCCATGTTCAATAATTTCATAGGGTGGAATTACAACAGAAACCTCAATTCCTAAAACATTTTGGAGTTCTTCATCATCCACATTTATCAATTCTTCAAATGTTACCAAATTTTGATTTATTTCAGATGCAGCCAATTGCTCTTCACTCTCACCATCATTATCATTATCTTCTTCTACTGATCCACCATCATCATCACTATTTTCATCTACTTCATCAAAGTACCAGAAAAGTGTAGATTTGATTGAATTACAACTTGTTCAAACTCTGTTTCATTTAGCTCTTGATAAGCACTTTTGATTTCATCCTTTGTGTTGGAAACGTAGTATGAATACATATTTTCAAGAAGTGAGCAATTCAATCCGAAAATGAACATCATATACTAAATAAAAAAATTTTTTTTTGATCAGCAGAATCTTGTAAATAATAAATAATTTCATTCATTTATATGATATTCAAAGTGTCAGAAGTAAATTAATTACCTAGTATGTCTCTTATCCATATA